AATGCTGCGTTTGATTTGGAATAGCCATCCTGTGGCCCAGCGCATTACTATAAAGTCCACAAGACCATAGGGTGTTAAATTTGCGTAAATGTACATGCAGAGATCGAGTTTGCTGCATAAACTCTAAACCGAGCCTCTCAGAGACGCAGAAAACACAGAATCATGAGCTGCTCATGTGTAAATGAACACAGTGCTGTGAACATTTCGCTCTGAAACATGCATTGCAACACTTTTAGTAATTAAATCACAGCCTTTTGCATTTTGATAAGTGCACTAAGCCAAATCGGGACACCACAGTCTAGGTAATTATTGGGAAATGCTGATATTAATAATAATAGATTTTTGTGTAAATGTAAGCAATGAATAAAACAACAGAACAGGCATAACATTCAGCCTCTGCTATGAGAAACTAACATCAATATTACTCGGCATTGTGATAGTTTCACTGCTAGCACACAAGACGTTATGAAGGTATCTTGACAACTTCTGACACAGTTCACAGCAACTTACGCAACACCCTCATGAGGGAAAACACAAAGAATTGCTTTATTTAATGTATCCACGCAAGTCAGAGGTTTTGGTCCCTGATGCGCTGAGTCTTTGTGTGAACTTGTAAGAGAGCGAAGGAAATTTTCTCCTCTTTACACAGTGACAGTTCCCTGTTGCATTGTGGGTAGAAGAGCGCAGAGGCGATTATGTTCCTCCCTCAAACAGTTTGTCTTGTCTTGTTTATAAGCACACAACAGTCCTCTCCCAAATCAAGACCCGGAGGCCCGATGGCGAGGCGGGAACACATCGTTCCTCTAAAGCACAGTGGTATATTGTGATGGTAATGGGATTGAGAACCGAAGAATGAGCGGTTTCATCATGCCACGCCTGATGCAAAGCACACCATTCTGCCTCTGGATGCTGTGAGACATTTCAGATTCCTCTGTAAACACATTAGCGAAGCACTTGTCTTAGGTTACAGGTAGAGAAACATTCATCAAATCCGTTGCCTCTACGCATCCATACATGCATGAGTCTCATTTGGTGTCAGAGGCCGCCGGGTGCCTGTGAGTCCCCAACTCAGAAGAATTACTCGAGATTCTGCATGCTGGAAAGCCTCCCCCCCTCAGTCACATCTATCGCCCCTCATCTTCCCCTTCATCTCTCTCTCTCTCTTTCAAAGATAAGAGAGTGTTGTGCAAGTTCTCCTGCTGCTGCATATATTTATGTTTTTGCTTTGAATCAAAAAAAATATTTTTTGAGACCAAACAGCCATTTTTGCCAAACTGTTTTAAAAGATGTTTTTTCACATTAATGTTTGATTACATTGATATATAGGCTACTTCATATGCTATTTCATGAAGATCAATACATGTACAATATATAATTATAATAATTATAACTGCTGAAGAAGTGTTACGTATTTTAATGTTTTTTGTTTGTTTGTTTTTCAAAGAAGTCTATTCTGCTCATCAAGGCTGCATTTGATCAAAAATACAGTAAAAACAGTGATATTTTAAAATGTTTTATTGTGTTTCAAAGCTGAATTTTCAGCATCATTACATTACATCATTACAGTCTTCAGTGTCACACGATCCTTCAGAAATCATTTTAATAGGCTTATTTGCTACTCAAAACACATTTATGATTATTACCTGCTGCTGCACTGAGTATGTGATCTGCATCCGTCTTTCTCCTCTGTGGCCATCAGGAGCAGGAACAGTAATACTCATTTAAATCTCATCAGCAGCTCTATTGAAGCATTTCCATCTGCAGCAAGAGAACAATGTCAGAGCCAGAAAGTAACCTTATTCCTTTTTTGTCTGCCTCTCCTAATCTATTTTTTTCTGTCTTTTTTTGGGGGGGGGATGCTGCTTGCGATCAGGTGTTCAGATCTTCATATTGAGTTTAGCTTTAGTTATCTTTCATTCTTACTCAGCAGAACTGGATGTTCTTTCATTTATCGACTTTTCCCTGCTTTTTCCATAATATATAGCCCTTGTCCGCACGGTTAGTGTTTATGCGCCCCTTTTCTGTCATGGGTGGTGGTTTCCTCTTGGCGCGTATGAACAGAATTTGTCCAACATGGGCAGAAGGAACATCAATCAGAGATATATATGCACTCTGCGCCTGGAGAGCTGTTAAGGGTCACGCATGGGCCATGGACCCCTAGACGGGCAGCTCTCAGCACATCTTGATTTACTTGCTTGCAGACTCAAAAGTCTGCTCTTACTATACCTATATAAGAAGATTTCCAGTATTATCGACAGTGACAGTTTGTTTTGTCTGTGTTTGAGTGGCAGAATAACCAGTAGCTACTTTGCCTGGTTAATACAGCTTAAAAAACAGTGTTTTAAAAATCATATCACCGTTATTGAAAAAAATTATATCGCGATACATGTTGATATTGAATTATTGTCCAGCCCTATTATCAAGGTTGAAAACAGATTAATATGCAGATTAATATTTTTGTGGAACGTGTGATGGGTTTGAACAGAAAAGAACAGCATTTATTTGAAATAGAAATCCTTTGTAACATTATAAATGTCTTTGATCAATCTAATACATCCTTGTTGAATATAAAGATTAATTTCTTTCAAATAAATAAATAAATTAATTAATTAAGAGTCTTACTGACCCCAAACTTTTGAACAGTTGTATACTATACTTTTTCAGCAATTAATTTGCGTCATGACTCATAAGTGTTCATGGTGACTTAAAATATATATATATATATTTTTTAATGTTTTAAAAAGAAAAATGAATCCATGAACACATGAGTGATGATGCGAATTAAATGCTCAATATGTGTTTTTGACTGAAACCAACAAGAAAGAACTGACCAGAGTAACTGAATCTAACTTCTTAAATCTGTGAATGAAATAATCACCAAACTTTCATAAATACTCAGTATACCGCCCAGCTCTAGCAGCTGATGTCATTGACAGGCTTGATCTGGACTCAATACATCATTACAGAGCATCTTATGTCATTAACAGCTCGTTACATGCCAAGGACTTCTCGCTCCTGCAGTCGCACATGCAGCATCAGCCAGAGCTTGCGAGGGCTCTTCAGCGCTGTTTAAATTAGTCTTCAGCCACCCTGTTTTTCTGTCTCTTCTCGTGCTGTCATTCTGCAGCGCTGCTCTTCCATCTCTTACTTTACTTATCTGCTTTTTCACACTCAGTTGCCTCCTTCTCCGTTCAGATCCCGTTATTTCTACAGTCTTGCCTCTGCTATCTCATGCACATGAGCAGTGTGATGTCGGAGAGGTTGCGCACTGCAGAGGGCAGATGTGGCAGATTATGACGCAGAGTTTTGAACCGTGCCCTCTGAACTCAGTGTCAGGCTGTTTCTCTGTCTCTCTCTCTCTCATCATACAGGATATGCAGTGACAGCCCCCCAGCCCCACACTTCTGTATCCTTCAGGCAAATAATGCCTAGCAAAACAATGTAAACCGAGACGCATGATGAATATTTCATGAAAACAGACCAGCATGCATATCTCAGACATCACTCTGTATTCTAAACAGCACGTAACGCACGCTGCTGTATACCGGGACAGGAAGTTACCGACATACTGGTAACTTTTAAGGACTTATTTTGTAAGATGGACACAGAAAAACGTACAATTTTTATCATAAGTACTTTTAAAGAAACTTTTATACAATGGTATGTGCCAAAACTTTTATTTTTTCAAGTTTAATTTTATCAAATGTTTGTTTTTTATTATATTGTATTTATGATATTGTTGAATGTATCTGCCGTGTAATAGCCAGTGAAGCTGATGTGGCAATCAATTTAAATATAGCCAAAAACTGACATATTAGTGTTATTGCTAAAGCTTTCTCTGAAATTCATTATCTTTAGGATCTTTGCAATCTTGTCGTTTTTATTATTGAATCCATCTTTCATTGGATGGTTTTGCTGTCTTTCTCATCTCCTTGTGCATGTCTAGAACGGAAATGGAGGGAGTCCTTAGGTATTGATTGCTGTCTCAAGAATGTTTCCTAATTTAGCATCAGAACCTGCAGTCAATTTCTGTAATGGAATTCACAGAGGGGTTAATAAAGAATGAGAGTGTGTGTGTGTGTGTGTGTGTGTGTGTGTGTGTGTGTGTGTGTGTGTGTGTGTGTGTGTGTGTGTGTGTGTGTGTGTGTGTGTGTGTGTGTGTGTGTGTGTGTATAATCCTGTCTTTGTGGCTTTCAGAGCAGAAATATGCCGTCATTGAAATGAAGCTGCACCATTAAATTAGTCTTAAAGGGCCATTTATGTCCTCACTTCATGAATCATTCTCTAGCAGGCCAGACAGAAACATAGGAAACTTTTAATCAATTCTCCCTCACTTTGGTTCGTTTAGTCACTGCTTCGGCCTACTTGCCCACTGACTGTTCCTTGACCGTACACAGCTGATGCATAGTGCACATTAAAACGGCAGGAGCACACATAAAAACAAGGAGGAAAAAATTCTCAGGAAATTTCTCTGCTGCTGTAATGAGAAAATCCAAGGAAGCGTTAGTGCTATTTTATGAGATCTGTAAGATATGCAAGAGGTTTTTTGTAGTGTGTATATATATATATATATATATATATATATATATATATGTATGTAACTGTTGCCACAAAAATAGCACAACTAAATATTGATCATAATAATAAATAATAATAAAAAATATTTGATTTATGTTTAATTTTTTTATATAAATTATAATCAGTTTCAAACCTAAAATCATAAAGCTTTTATTTTGGTGGGTTGCCCACCGCTGGTTTTGAAGCACTTCAGTGAAGTGACAGTTTTGTGTTTTGCTCTGAAAAACAGAAGATTTTATACAGTATTACAGTTAGACGATCTGAAACGGTGATTGTGCATTAACAGGTACGCAAACGAGTGGTCTGAACTTATTTACCCAGCGCATTTCTTATTTCGGTCATGCACCTGCGCACCATTTATGTGCATCCCTGGTTACAGAGCATGCAGACTTACCAAGCTTATCTGTTCTTTCCCTCTACAGGTCTGAATCCGCTGCCCTTTGACCCTGCCGCGAACAACGAACCTCTGCAATTCAGCAGCTCCAATGGTCCTCTGGTCTCTGACTGTCCTCTGGAAAACGGAACAGAAAACAGCAAAAAGAGGAAGAGACCCAACCTTCCTCCAGGTACACTTAATGATTTCCTCTCGCCTCAGACCACGCTTACTCACACTCATCAGGCCCCACAGTCGTTAACTGCATTCACATCGTTATTTCTGCCGCTGCTCTTTTCCTGACCTTTGAATGTGGGTGGTGAACGCCTGGGGGTCCTGCATTCTGAGAGACGCTCGCTTCAAATTATCACCTTCATTAAAACATCAGAACAGAAACCTCAGGTTATTTCCACTTTTCTAGTAGCTTTGATCTCATAATTTGACATAAACATTGAGGTTAATAGAATAAAAATCTAATTAAAATATGCCTGGAATAGAACACTAAAAATAAGTGACCAAAGTACAGATTTCTTGAGGAGTGGCTCAAGCATTTCTGCTTGTATCTTCTCAAAATTATGACTAACACCTTGCGATCTGGATTTTCAAAATGTAAAAGCGAATCTGGATATATGCCAGTCATGAACAGAGACTCTGTCTGACGCCGATAACCTTCAAAATTACACTTGAAAAGTAACGCCCAGGGAATTTTACAAACCTTTCTGATGCAGGTTGGCTCAAATGAACGAGCCTGTTCATATTCATGCTAATGTTAATGGCGTACTAATTAATTGAATTATGATTAGCTGAAAGAAATGGATCTTGGAAAGGCTACTTAATGTTTCTGGTTGTCAAGGTGACTTAATTGGATCAGATTAATTGTTAATGTTAATTAGGCAGTCTTTTTACCGTTTAACATTTTAAAGTCTTTACAGGGCTCCAGACTGCGACCATTTTTTCTGCCGGTGTGACTAATTTTTGTGAGCGGTGCGACCAGTTTTGCGAGTTTTGCGAACTGGTGCGACCACCGCGTTGTCCAACTCATAAGCGCTGCCATTTCATTTGCAGAAAGAAAACATCAAACAGCAAACGAAACGAAAGCGAAACTAAACCGTGCTACGTTTCAGCTGCGCAGAGCGGACCGTTTATCAGCTCAGACCGCGACGCAAACAAACTTGTCCGAGCTTAGAACAGCTTTACTCGAGAACCAAAGTTGATTTTGCGACTCTGTTACTGCACAGATGCAACAGTGCTGTGAGATCTAGTGAGAATCATTCAAATTCTTCACAGAAATCTCTGTTATAAACAGCGCTGACATACGTCAGGAAACCAGAAGCGGTAACGCTAACTGTAACCATGGTGTTGGGTTGAAATAGTCGAATGCATTACATCATTCATTTCAGGGTTTGTACAATCTTTTGAATGACTTTCAAGCATTTCACACAACTATTTCCAGCACTTTAACGCTCTAAAATGATCCAGTTCGAATGTTATTTTTAATGGGATGACCAATATACTTTATGGTAAACAAACACTTATGCATAATGTAAAAAATACATCAAATCATAATTATAACCAGTAGACGGCAGCAGAGGAGCACTTACTGGCTTATTAGTCATCCATTTCTACTTTTTCTCTATATTTTGAAATTATAAAATCACTATTATAAAATATCAAATCATCAAGAAATCAGATTTTGTCAGAATTTTGCACTTTTTTGTGTATAAAGTAAGAAAAGTCACAAAGTGCCTTGGAAAACAAACTTTTCTTCAATTTGCTACTAATTCACACATAATCACTGAAGTTGGTCAGTTCCATATACTAGAAGAATAATGGTACATTTAATAAGAGTGGAATATATACATTTTCTATATAAAAATAGATTTTGCACCTATTGCTGTTGTTAATAAAAGTCAATTTTGTATGCATCTCAACTCAAGCTTAGTGCTTTACTGTCAGATCTGTATAAACAATAAACAAAAGAAAAATAAACAAGAAATTAACATGTAATATTATTAGTAACTGCACTTATTAATGCAAAACAATAGTAATTTTATGATTAAATTATCTATATTTTAATACTCCCGCACACCACCCCCAGCGCTACCAAATCTGCTCCTGGCGCCGCCATCTGTAGAACTTAGTGGCGCTGGTGCCGCTGCTCTCAAATGTTAGTCTGGAGCCCTGCTTTATTTATGGCCACATGACCAGGGCTGGTGGAATTCATTTACAGTATGTGACCATTTTTTACAAGGATAATCCACCTGGATAATGATGGCTCAACTGTTTGTTTTTTTTATGTGGGTTTTGAACCCGCAACCTTCCGAGTCTGTCATTCACTTAATAATTGTACATTTCAGCCATCACGTGTTTCCACACATGCTGTTCTATGTAAATATGGTCTCCATTTGAAGTCTGCCGCTCTGATCTCCAGGCCCTTGATGGTCATTTCTCCCTCAGGAATTCATGATTTGAAGGGACTCTGATTAGGGATAAATGGCAGCAAGTGATGGTGAGCAGAGCTTCTCATCATCGTATATGCTCAGAGAATTGATACAAATGGAAGTGAAATGGGCTCATACTGTGTTCTGGTCATGGTGAAGAGCTGCTTGTGCAGATCAAAGCTTGCCAGCGAGCTTTAGATCAAAGCTTCCTAGCGCTAATCTAATCTGCCCATTTCAGAACACTTTTTTCTTTAGTGCAAGGACGTCATTTGAGAAAGGCTTAGATGAGCTATATTCACCATACACCGAATATTTAGACACAACGGAGTCCGTCTGCTGAAATGGAAGTCAGTGAGGTAATGGGTTTCAGACAAAATGTTTTATTGTTCTGCTGAAGTTGAAGAAGAGCTTTTAAGATTGTGCCAGTGTGGTGCTGCTCATTTAGAAGACGTGGGTTTGAATCTGACATCCTGTAAGACATAGTCTTGGCTTAGTGATGAGCTCTGTTGCTCATGCAGACAATGTGATTTTAATCTGGCTCGCAACACTCCCTAATCTTACTCCTCATATTACTTTCTTTACTCTTCTTTAATTGAAAGAGACAACATACTAAAACAGGACACAGTAGTAGGTCAGAGCTGTGGCTTAACAGAAAGCTGAGGTGATCATTCAGACAATTTGAGTTCTAATCTGGCTCGCAACATTCTCCAATATAGCTCCTCTTGTTACTTCCTCTACTCTCCTTTAATTTAAAGAGACAGAAGACTAAAATAGGACACTTTAGTATGTTTGAGCAGTGGCTTAACCGAATGCTGAGGTGCTCATTCAGACAATTTGAGTTCTAATCTGGCTCGCAACATTCCCTGATTTTGTTCCTCTTATTATTCTCCTTTGAATGATAAACAACTAAAAATAGGACTTTTTAGAATGTTGGAGCTGTGGCTTAACGGGAAGCTGAGGTGCTTATGCAGACAATTTGAGTTCAAATCTTGCTCGCAACATTCTCTAATATTGCTCCTCTTGTTACTTTCTGTACTCTCCTTTAATTGAAAGAAACAAAAGACTCATGCTAAGAATTTGAATTCGCAACATTCCCTAACTTTTGCTCCGCTTATTATTCTCCTTTGAATGAAAATGACAAAAGACTGAAAATAGGACATTGTAGTATGTTGGAGCCATGGCCTAACAGAAAGCGGAGGTGCCAATGCAGACAATTTGAGTTCAAATCTGGCTTGCAACATTCCCTAATCTTGCTCCTTTTATTACTTTGTCTACTCTACTGTAAATAGAAACACTAAAAATAAGTCGTATGTCAGAGATGTGTGTTTATAGAAAGGTGCTCATGCAGACAGTTTGACTTCTAATCTGGCTAAAGAAAACATTTCTTTGATCTTGCTTTTCTTATTACTTTCTCTACTCTCCTTTTAATGAAAGAGACAGAAGACTAAAATTGTACACTATAGCTTAACTGAAAACTGAGGTGCTTATGCAGACAATTTGAGTTCAGATCTGGCGTGCAACATTCCCCAACCTTGCCCTTTACTCTCTTATTACTCTCTCTACTATCCTCTAAATAAAAAAATGACAAAAAACAGGCCACTTAAAACCGGTCACACTAGACTTTCAGCATACTAAATTTCTTCAGGCACTGCAACAGTCATATAACATCACACTCTGCAGCGTTGGTGCGCATGCAGACAATTTGAGTTCTAATTTGGCTCTCAACATTTCCTGATCTTGCTTTTATTATTACTCTCCTTTAAATAAAATTGTCACAAGTCTAAAAACAGGTCATGTAGTATGTCAGAGCTGTGGCTTAACAGAAAGCTGAGGTGCTCATGCAGACAATGAGTTCTAATCAGGCTGGTAATGTTTGCTAATCTTGTCGTTTTAATACTCATTCTAATCTTTAAATAAAAGCACCAAAAGACCAAAAATAAGAGGTTTGTAGTACACACAACACTAATATTGGCTCAACCCAGTGGGAAGTATGCAGTTTGCTTCTCAGTTACTCAATTAGCACCTGTCTGATTTGTTAAGCCTTTGATTATGCTGGCTGAATCACGCGACTGTTGTCTCGAATCTTACAATGCCTGGGCTCCTGTAAAGCCACTAGCGCTTCGCAGCCGCTCTAAATAGTTGTGCCGTACGTGTCTGCTTAGCAACCGGGAGCTGCTTAATGGGGTTTCTTTTTGAACAACGCCAGCAGTTTTCCTTCCCGGCCTGTCATTATGCCGTGCTCTTATCCACCGTGACCGTGCCTGATAAATCCGCTCCCTGATGGAAACACATCTAAATGATGAAAATTCGCAGCATCTGGAGTATAATGCATTCAGCCGCTCTGATGTCCTCTGGCAACACAAGACAGAGCCGCTCCTCCGAGGAGTGGAGCTAATGCAGGGGTGTGGACTAATTACCAGTCATGCAGATTTACTCTCGTTAAAGCATTATAATGGATAGATTCATCTCATTAGCGCTGGCACTCCATTAGACGTCCAACCCCCCATCCCCCTGCCCCGCTGCTGTTGATGTTACTGGATAATGGATGCGCTGCAGAGAGCGAGTGGGTGAGAATCGCCACGCTCGTACAGGACTAGGGATGCAACGATACCATTTTTTCAGAACCGATCCGATACCAAAAATTCTGAGTATCGGCCAATTCCGATCCGATCCGATACCAGCGCAGTTTTTTTTTACAACTTTAGACAACTTCATTTTAATGAAAAATAACAAATGAAAAAATATATAATCA